CGCATACAGACGACAACATAGTCAAAACGATCCCTGTTCACACGGATTCACGAAAATGACTAAAAATGCTGTGTATTATGATTGTATTATGCATGCCAGGCCAGTAGGTGCTGATGACACTTTGTAAAGAAACTCTACGAGCTTATAGACTGAACACGTAATACACGTACAGTGCATGACGTCACAGTTTTCACAAATTAGCGTTTTTGTTGTTTACAATACGACAATAACGGTATGGATTTCAAAAACTTGCAAAAGTTTGTCTTCAGGCCCCCAAAACGCTGTTGTCGTGTAAATGAATGACAAACAAAAAATCTTTTTAGTTGAAAACTGTCTTGTGTAAACAGCCCCTGAGACAAGCCTTTTTGATTGTGGGAATGTTGTCTGAACTGAATGATAAATGCATGTGTTTGGGGGGTGCTCTGGTATGGAAATTATGTTATTTTCAATCATGATAATGTGTGGATTTTGGTAATAACATTTGGAACTATTTTTTGAGTAAGCAATTTTGAACTGTTCTCTGAGGGTGGGTTAAGAATGTTATGTCAAAAATAGGATCTTAGGCAATGCAACTGAGATGTTTACATGTGCTCAATGAAGTTTCCATTTGAATTTGCATAATTCAATTTGCCCTTGACATTATCACATCCCTGCCCTAGACTTTGAATAAAGGTGAAAGTACTTCTTAATCATTATATTTTACTATAGTTATTTATTTATTACTTTTGTTCCAAGTAAAAATTGTGTGCAGTGTTATTTTAAGACTATTATTTTTGTTAATATTTTTGAATTAGTTTTTCTTTTCATATTTTCGGTTTTCATTTTAATTTTAGTTCAAGTTTTAGCAATTTTGTTGTGTGTTTCTTCATTTTTTAAATGTCTATAGTTTTTATTTTTTATTTCAGTTTTAGTGATTTAAAATCATCAAGTTAAACTAAATTAAAATGTGAATTGTTTCTTCAGTTTCGTACGTTTTTTGTATGCAAGTATAACAAAAATGTATGTACTTTATTTTAGTTAGCGTTTATTTTCTTTCCAGTTACTGATTTTTTAAAAATGTTTTTAGTTTATATAATAACTCTGGTAGGAAGTGACATCAAATGACATTTTGCAACCTGAACGAACCTTGAAGATGAGTGAAAAAATACCGATATCATTAAACCCCCCCCCTAAACTTCTGCCTAGCCCCCCTAAAAATCTGCGATAAATGTGTGATTAATGGTGCGTTCACGTGCTATGGAAAATATGATATTTTCCACTTGTGAATTGGTATTTACCAGTGTGTTGCGTTCAAGTGCTTTTGTTGTCGTAATGTGGTAAAAAGATGGAGATCCAGACCTGTTATTTAGCTAAAACTCTTTTAGATTGCTTAAGTCATCTGCTACAGCAAGAAAATGATTTATCAAAACTCAAACGGTAAATAATATGCTTGCTGTATATTTTCTAGATCATGAATAGTACATATTTTTACCATTCACGACTCCCGCGTAGCTCTCCGCCATTTTGAAAAGGTCAAAGGTTATCTCATCTCGGCAACTCGTGCATCAAAATATTCTAGGAGCTGCCCAGTGGAAAATACCACATGAGGGGGTGTCCATGTGCATTTTCCACGTCGGCTTTTGGTATTTACCATTATTACCATAGCACGTGAACCGCACCATAAGTGTAAGCTACACAAATTCCTGTTCGCTTCAGTCTTGTTATAATCAGATTCAGTACGTCCTTCATCTTCAATCCGCAGCGGCACGCGAGCAGAGCGCACGTCAGAAACATAGACAGTAAAAGAAAGGTCAGAAACAGAGGACAGTGTGTGTGTGTGTGTGTGTGTTCATCTGAGCCTCATTGGTCTGTCACTGCTCGTCAATGTCAGAATATTTGAGATGACCAATCAAATCAAAGTAGGCGGGCTTTATGTTCACAGACGCTGCTGAGCGCGAATTTTAGCAGAGCGACTCACTCGACGCTTCAGTTGTTTACGGTCAAGTGCGAGATGAGATGCAAGTAGCTAAACTAAACATTTCATATTTTACAGTTTTTTTAGGTCATAAATGTTAAACGAATGAAAAAAATAATCAGGCAAACTAATATGCTTTTGTCTAATTTTGCCATTTTGAACTGAAAATAGGCCTATGTAACGTGACTCATGTAAGTTAATGTAATTATTAGTTAACTGTCATTGTGAGGGGACAAGACACATTAACAAAGCCATTTTCATCATTTTAGGCACAATATTAATAATGAATGTGTACATGTTGAGAATTAATATAATACAATTTGTAGCCTTCAGTAAATTAAAAAAGTTCAGCTTAGGGAAGAGACAGGGCAAGATGAGGAGACAGAGAAAAAGAATGAGTAATGGATAAGAAGTGAGAGCAGGTGCTGACAAATCATCTACTGCCCGCTGACATGGTTTTGAAGCTATATCTTATCCTTTTTTTGGCATTCAAAACATCTTTAAATGCACATAATCAGAGAAATCAAAATTTTATCGGGGAGCCCCCGAACACCTCTAGCCTACCTCACATCCGGGACCTCAGTGATTATAAACCCTGCCATCTGCATGTTAATGAAACTAGTTAATAGTGAGCAGCATTAGACCCTAAACTAAAGTGTTACCTTTTTTTTTTTTTAAATCATACCCTCATTGGGGGCTGAGCCACAGACAGACTGATTCATGTTCCATACTGGTCACACACATTTCAGTTCAGTTAGATTCAGATGCATATTTGTATTGATGATTCTAATTTGATTATTTTATATCCAATTGATGATATTTGTGTGTGTTAAAAAAGTTTTTGACTGATGTTTTGACTCCTAACCAATTTTCTACAATAAAAATTGTCTTTTTATTTGGGCTAGTAAAATTCATTTCGGGCTACCAAAATCTGGAGTGCCTGCCCGAAGGGCTACCAGCAATTTTGAGATTTTGCGAGCCCTGGGTCAGAATCAGATTCACTTGTACATTCTGTGAAAATTACAAATGGTGTATTTCTGACAAAACAAACAGCCACTGATGCATTGCTACTTTAATTTATGCATACTTTCTCAAAAGCTTAGGGGGTCGGCTTTTCCAGCACAGTCTTGTCATTATAGCTTGCAACTTGATTGAAAGAACAAAACAGAACAGGAGCTTAAGTGGCAGTCCAGCCATGTATTTTCTTCACATTACAGCAAATCATTTACTCGCTGCCCCTGGGCAAATTAAGAACCCAACAAACAAAATTGAAACAGGACTGATTCATTAGATTAGTCAAAGCAAGCTCTAATTTACAGACATCCTCACTTACTTGAGGAAATTTCCATGTCCTTATTCGCAGTTTAAGTCATGCATGTCTCAATGCTGTAAACAATTATTATACTCTCAAGATCTGTATCTGCTCTGAGGTGTAATGAATGAGCTTTTACTCCTCACATCCATCACAGACCAGACCAAACCAACAGGAATGGACGGTGTGATTTCAGGCTATGGCTAAGCTTCATGTATGCATTGTTTATATCACTAAACAGATGGATTATCATCAGAATAACATACTAGACAAAGCAAAACTCTCATCTGATGTTCCAAAGAGAAATTTCCATACAGTAGGTAATAAATAAGAATGAAAAACTTCTACACTCTTAAAAAATTACGGTTCTTTATTGCCATCTTTGGCAACCTTTAACAACCTCCATGGATGACCTTTTTTCATTGCACAAAAGGTTATTTAGATTATTAAAATATTCTTCAGGCTAAAGAAATTGGTTCTTTTTGGAACTGATCCCTGAAAGGTTCTTTGGGAAACCAAAAATGGATCTTCTATGCCACTGCGTTTTGGAACCTTCCATTTTAATATAATAGTACATAATAAGAATTTAATCAAGAATAAGATGATGATATCATCAATAAAATCATGCTCAAAAGAAATACATAACTACTGTAATGTTTCTCCTCCCATGTCCTGTGGCAACAGGTCAAGATTTCTAATGAGAATCTACATTCCTAAAAGAGGACATCTGCAGACATCATTTTGTCCCTATCTTTCTAAATATATTAAAGACAGACTTTGCTATCTTGGAGTTTAAAAAGAGATCCTTGCAGCTCTCCTGAAGGTTTCGGGTGGTGATGAGGTGCTGATGCAGATTTTCCAGGCAGAGATTTGAGACAATGGCCCACGTGTACTAACAGACAGACTGGAGCATGACAGACAAAAATGTACTAGTATTGCTTGGTAAAATACTAAAGGTATTTTTAAGATATTTTCAGTTTCAATACTACTCTATTCTTCTCAAAACCTACATAGACAGCATTTTGGAGCACCTACTTCCATTTGTACTTGTAATAAATGAAAAAGCTCACTAGGTTTGAGCCTACACATTTTTAAATGTTACTGAAGATGTATCATTCTTTAAGACAGACACAGAGACTTGATAATGCAGCTTAAAGAGACATAATTTACACCCTTGTGTTGGGGTGTCAACTTTCTGTCAACTGTCAAATTACACTTTCTTTCTTCTGTGGAACAACAAAGGAGATGTAATGCAGAATGAGCCTCAGTCACCATTCACTTTCATTGAAAAAGGTGCAATGAAAGTGAATGGAACAGACTGCCTAATATCATCTTTTGTGTTACACAGAAAGGAAGAAAGTCATGCAGGTTTGGGACAACATGAGGGAGAGTAAATGATGACAGAATTTTCATTTTTGGGTGAAAAATCGCTTGAACTTTTTCTCTGATTGAACAGTTTGCATTGATTGTAAACAGAGTATAACAGTTGACCAAGGGAAAGCCATTTCAACTCATTTATATCCAGACAGTTGCAGTGCACCTGTTTTCGGTGCACTTTATTGAAAACGGAAGACTTTAAATTGAGATAATATGACATGACTGTAAAACACTAGCATCAGTGCATTTCTTTAAATAATTATCATCTTAATTTGATCAATATCGTCAGTGTGATGTAGCGTAAAAAGTAACAGACATTTCAAAGCACACACGCTTGACACAGACACATGCTCTTACCTTCAACTGCCCACACAATCCGTATTATCCATAACAAACGAATTATATCCATAATTGCCGTAAATTTGGGCATTTTACTGTAAAGACCCAGAATATTCATTGAAAACTTGTCCGGCAGGCCATCTGTGAACACACTATGAATACAAGCTCTCGAATAAACCCCATCGGTCTGGAAGAACTAAAGCAAGTTTGGACGAAACCAATGAAACGCAGACGAGGGGGCGGGAAATGTGTGGATGACAAGAGTGATGCTCAACAAACGTGATAATCATTACTGTCTGAATGCAAGATAATAATAATAATAACAACAACAACAACAATAAAAATAATTTATTATTATTATTATTATTATCGTTGGTTATGAAAGCTAATTTACTTTTATTTTAAGCTATGCTATTAAAATTGGCCAAATTAATTAATTAATTATAGGCTACTATATATTTTGTTTGTAATCAAAAAAAAAAAAATGAACAAATTATCTCTGAAACAAATTAACTTAAGCACTTTAAAATCTAGACCGTGATTTTCCAATGAAAATATTTTATGTATGTAGGCCTGTTTGTTATTTTTTGCTATATCTGTTAGCAACTATTCTAACTGGGTAATAGGCTATATTCTCAGTCATTTAAAACTGGTTTCGGAAGTCACGAAAATGTCTCTGTGGAAGCACTTAAATTATATAAATAAATAGCATTCTTCTTTTGGATACACAAGCCAAGTAATTTGCCCGGCATTCACTTGTTTGATCAATGACAATTTATGTCCTACCAACAGCGCCCCCTGGAGTTTGTTCTGTTTAGGTGCGGATGCGGATGCGGTTGCGGATGCGGTGGGAAGGGGTGATGCATGTGATCATCATCTATCAAATAGCTCTCTAATCCTTGGAGTCACTTGCAATTTTATCGTTTTGAAGATTACAAAACTGACAGATCACACATGAGGCTGGTGTGAAGAAGTCAAACGGCCTCGTTTCTCAACACCACTGCTCGTGATCTTTGACTCCCATGTGAGAAGAATCCAACTTGAGCCCTCATGGATTCATTTATTCACTTAGATATATTCCCAGTGACTTTAAAAATAAAATGTAAGATCCTGGATAGTGGAGCTATTAGCGCACAGGCACATTTACATTTTAAAAAAAAGTTTTTTTTACAACATTTTAAAATATTTATACATTTTACAAATCATCTGTAAAAAAAAAAAACAAGTAAAAACATGAGTAAAATAAATACAGTAATTTTTATTAAATAGCTTATACGACAGTATTTTACATGGATATTTTGCTTGTATCTAAAAATACAACTGAAGAGTAAATCCATATGACTCATTAAAAATAGAGCATGATTATACAAATTTCTGTAAAAAAACAAAACAAAACAAAAACATTCCAAACGGCATAGAACAGAGCAAGAGCGAGAGAGGGATGTAGACCACCGAAGGGAGAGACGGGGAGTTAGGGAAAGAGAGGGAGGGTGAGAGAGGGAGGAAATAGAGCAGAAGAATATGGAACTGACATAAAGGAATCTAGGATAATTCAGCCTCAAGATGAGTGAGGACTGCAAAACGGCAGACTAAAGAATCCAGGGGTCGTTTCTATGGAAACCTTTGGCCAGGGAGATTGGCGACCCTCCTGTCTACTAATGCTAGCAGAGCGAAGATTGTAGGTCACATATGGCACCAACACACCAATCAGGTCTAATCTGTCTTGACTTGTGGGTCATGAATTGAACCATGAAACTGGTTTTTACTCTGGCTCATATCACTGTGTGTGTGTGTGTGTGTGTGTGTGTGTGTGTGTGTGTGTGTGTGTGTGTGTGTGTGTGTGTGTGTGTGTGTGTGTGTGTGTGTGTGTGTGTGTGTGTGTGTGTGTGTGTGTGTGTGTGTGCGTGCGTGTGTGTGTGTGTGTGTGTGTGTGTGTGTGTGTGTGTGTGTGTGTGTGTGTGTGTGTGTGTAATTATATATATATATATATATATATATATATATATGCACACACACATACACACAATCAGTGATATGAGCCAGAGTAAAAAACAGTTTCATGGTTCAATTCTAAATTATATATTATATATACAGTGCTTAGCATAAGTGAACACCCTGCCATGCTAAAGTTGACTAAAAAGAGGAATAAAAAATCATCTTTTGGAAATTGATCTTAATGCCTTAAAGCTGCTGTAGGTAACTTTTTAAAAAAATATTTTTTACATATTTGTTAAAACTGTCATTATGTCCTGACAGTAGAATATGAGACAGATAATCTGTGAAAAAAATCAAGCTCTTCTGGCTCCACCCAGTGGTCCTATTGCCATTTGCAGAAATACACGCTCCAGGTCAGAAACAACCAATCAGAGACAGGAGGAATGTCTTAGCAGTGTCAATCACGCTCCTGTACGCGCTGATCACACCCCTCTCTTGCACAGCGCGTACCGTCGTTCAAACTCAAGATTGCCGGTGTGCCGCAGCTGTGCTTATGACGGAGAAACAACCTAAACTGCCAATTCTCGAGTGACACCTGCTCATAAAACAAAGAGGTAAAAGGAAAAAGACTGATGACGATAAACAAGCGAAAAAGAAAGAATTACACAGAGCCCATTGACTCTGTGTCAAAACTCTAGCCGCATAACATGTAGATAAAATGTCACGCACTCTACTAAGCAACAATTGAAACCTGCTAATTCACTGGCTTGTCATGTTGCTGAAATAATGTACTAGCACACCTAATCTAGCATTATATATCGCTAGAATAATTACTTACATACTGTAACGTTAGAATACTTATACTTACATATAAGTACAAAACGTATACTTACATATAACTTATAGAAAGAGTGCAACGTTATAAAGTTACATGTAGGCTATTGCAAAATACATAATGATTTGAGGACCAAGTTTGTAGTCAAAGTATGGGCAGGCCATAGTCAATGTAAAGCATATTGTTGACGTTTAGTCCCTATTAGTGAATGTGCCATATAACTTTTTATCCGCTGTTATCGGTGGCCCTGTTTACTAGCCTGCGCGTTCACGACAGGCTCCGCTGTGGAGGACGAGCTGTGGAGGGAGGGCTGTAGCGCAGCAGAGAGCAAGGGGGTTGGAACTGTAAGTTGTGCTTGTTCCAATTTTCAGGCTAAGTCAACGTTTTCTCAAAACTCCCTACTGCAGCTTTAATTTAAAAAATGAGGAAAGATCCCACCTTTAGGGACACCAATTTTCTTTGTGAATGAATATTTGTATTGTAAATAAATAAATGTTCTACCTTAAAATACAGGGGGCATAAGTCAGGACACCCCTATGTTAAATTCCCATAGAGGCAGGCAGATTTTTATTTTTAAAGGCCAGTTATTTCATGGATTCAGTACTATGCATCCTGATAAAGTTCCCTTGGCCTTTGGAATTAAAATAGCCCCACATCATCACATACCCTTCATTATACCTAGAGATTGGCATGGGGTACTTTCCATAAGATCATCTCTCAATGCTAATCAAACCAGCTATTAGGCTAACTGAAATAAAACCATGCCAATCTTATGGTGAAGGGTATGTGATGATGTGGGGCTATTTTAATTCCAAAGGCCAAGGGAACTTTATCAGGATTACATTTATCATTATTTCATTGTATGTATGATAATAATAATACAAATGTATATAAAGTTCTGTGTGACGAATACATTCAGATCACTGTTTTCATCAGTAACTCGGCACTGAAGTCTCAAGGAGTGTCTTGCTCTGAATACGGTGAGAGCACAGACCACAAAATACTCTCTTTTGTGAGAGTAGAAACAAACATGACACCCCACTGTGCCATTTTGATGGCTTCTGATAGTAACACGCACTGATACGGGTCTGCCTTTCTAATCCTGCAGCTCTAAATTGGAAAAATTGACCTTGCTCACAGAGGTGACTCAAATTTGCTATCTTTGACATTTACAGGACTTAGCAGAGTTTTCTGTTCAGATGAACAAGGCCTCGAGGACGGACAAATATTTCATGAGTAATTTAATATCTGGAGCACGCACATGGTCCCCTGTGAATTAGGCTCTGAAAATAGTAGGATGGTATCAGTTGACAGCACCCCGAGTCTTCAAGATTGGGGAAAGTCATGAAGGCGTGGGCTCAAAAAAAAGAAACAAAAGAAGTAAATATAATAATGACAGTAATATAATGGTCTGGGTACCTAACATAAACTGTTCCCCCATCCCACATACTACAGTTAGGTGTCACACAATTGATTTTGTCAGGTATAATTAACAGCTTGATATGTTTATGTTATTAGATATGGGATTGTGTGGGCCCAATAAAACCAGCATGGAGCAGTCACAGCTTGTGCAGACAGGCTGATGGTATTGATCTCACTATCGGTTTAGACATGGAGCCTGAGGGGAAGGAATCTGGGGAGCAGCTCTCTGCCTTGCTTAAAAATCAGGAGGAAAAGATCAAAGTAGTCGAGTCAAGCAAACGGCCACCAGTCAATAATTCTCTTTTTATGGCACTGATATCCACTTCATGCATGATACATTATTGAACTGGCTTCCAGGCACATAAACAATGCAATTCATCTGAAATTGTGTCAACAAGCTGATTAAATTACTTTTATAGAGGCCTATGCTTTTTTCCCCCTTTTTGTGCAAATATTTTTTACAATCATCAATCTAACTGCTGAGAGTTGCCCTCTGATCTCTGATGTAATAAAGAAATCTGCATTTTCTGTAAAGCTGCTTAGAAATGATAGGTATTGTAAAAAGCACTATAGAGCTGGTAAGTCCCGCCCCTTCCGCTTACCCCGCTGGACCTCTAGGTTGAAAAATCGCCAATGCAAGTGAATGAGAGAAAATAATTATTTTCTAATCCCGTTTGAATTTTGCAATGAATGTGAACATATGTTGTCTGTGAATTTTTTTATATAATGTTTCGTGTAAAGAATGCTACAATTTAGCGGGTAGAATTTTCATACAGTTAGACTTTGTGTGAGAGCACTTTGTGGACTACAACTCTTCGCTGCTTTCGACGCGTTTGATAGACGTCACCACCACTAGCACACGGATCCCGCTAAACATGCCTTTGTTTGAATGGTGACATTTGGGTACAAAACACACAGGCATCTCGATCTAATTCCTTAGATTATCGCACCGTGATTTGTGGAGGGAAAATGTGTTATGCGGTGACGTCACATATGCGACGTGTAGTCTTTCTCGTTATGTCTATTCCACAACTGCTAGCCAAAGAATCATACAATATACTGTCAAACTCGTTACATGAGAAATTATATAAAAAATTCACAGACAACATATGTTCATATTCATGGCATTATTCAAACGGGATCAGAAAATAATTATTTTCTCTCATTCACTTGCATTGACGCTTTTTCAACCTAGAGGTCCACTTGGAGTTTTACGGATGGGCGGGACTTACCAGCTCTATACAAATAAATGTGAATTGAATTGAAAATTAAATTGGAGATTTGGGGACAAAAACAACAGAAACACATAATACAGTATACTTGCTGCCCTCTTGTGACAACTGCTATACAGAATAATGTTCAGCCATTAAAATCATACTGGATATCGTGGTACCTTTTGCATGTAACTTTTAAAATATTTTTAAAAGAAATAGTATGTGAAATAGGTAAAACTAATTCATCAAAATATAATAAATAACAATCTTTCATATAGGATGATCGTACAGTCTAGTGCCCCCATTGCTGCACTATGACTTTAGGAGCCATACAGGCCTGGGAGTGAGCACCCCCTGCTGGCCTGACTAAAGCAACTTCCAATAAATTTGAGTTTTTCCACAAAGGTCTCCAATCCGTGTCAGTGTGTCACAGCCTGGCTCGAACCCGCTTAGCTTCGGTGAACCAGGCTTTGAACATGGGACGTTACGGCTGCACTGCTTCACGCTGCCTTGATAAAACGAGTCCAATGGAGGGGCAGCGCATCCTGGCTGAGTGGCTCAAAATGTATGTATTGCTGTATACAGTCACACTATAGCAATGCTCTCCCAAATATTCTGCTATTCTAACTGCGCATATTTCCTTCATTGGTGTAAGCAGCAAAGGGTGGTAATAAGAAATGTACACTTGTACACCATCTTGCTAATTACGTTTCTTTAGTCATTTAACAATCCTACAGCCAGTAGTGAAACCAATTACCAGAATTTTCTATTTGCTAATAGGTCAAATTAATAATTAAAGTGCCAATTAACGACCACAGTAAGTCAGGACCTCGGTAAACTAACCGATTAAGACAAATAGAGTAATTTTGCAAATGGTGTTCTGCATGATCCATTAACAGCATTTTACTTTAAATATTAATATAATATTTTCTAAAAAAAAAAATCGAATAAAAAATACATTATAGACCTATTATATAGAAAATATATAAATAAATAACAGAAATGTTCTTTTTTTTTAACAATGCATCAAACAAAAAAGAAAAGTTAAAGGTAAAATTAAAAATATATTTGTAAAATATATAAACTGATGAACAGAATGGATGTGTAAAGACAGGAGTGTGGCTTTAAAGGAGGAGATCTTCAGATTATGACGTCCAGGCCTGCAGTTGGCCGAGAGGATGCTGAGAAGTTACGGGTTATTGTAAAGATTAAAGCATGGCTGGTGAGTGGCTGGTAAGCTCTGCTTGTGTCTGTTTTCAGCTTTAATGGAATTCCACTTTAAATGTTTTTTTTTTTGTCTGTTTGTTTGTTTAAGAAAAACAAGCCTGTAGACGTATTATTTGGGAGATATACAATGTGGAAGGAGGAGTAAACTCTGTGGTAAAGGAGTAAACCTTGTGGTAAGACATTTTATCATTTATCCTACATGAGAATAATTTATCTTACAGTAGAAAATATTTTAGAATCAATGTTTTGAGTAGTACACACAATGCTGTTTTATTGTTTCATCATGCTCATAGAAAATGTTACAATTATCACTGTGATTTTTTTTTCGATTCTGTTTAAGATTCAATATATAAATTGTAGATACAGTATATATTGATGTGACTAGCTTATATATGTGAAGTTCAGAAGATTGCGTCTGTGAAACTGTCCTTTCTCTTTAAGCCTGGCAGAGAAGGAGACCACCAGACTGCAAAGATGAAAGTGAAATGGACGAAGTTGGGCATGGTCTTCTTTCTGCTTCTCTCTTTTGTAATGACAGGCTGTTTTCTTTGGCAGTACAGGCTCCCCAAAGCAACACCAGGTAAAAATGGACCAAATTAAAAAAAGGCTACTATATTGTAGAGAGATCCAGCAAGTGATCATCAAACATCAATGAATGGATGGTGAATGCTTATATAGAAGAAATTATGCATTTTGCTCCCATAAATAGAAAACCAAGATGTTTTTTTTTTTTACTTATAATGGGTAGAAGTGCCTAAAAAGCATTTACAGAATTGGGGAACATCCTTGCATTTGGCTTTTCGATCCCCTTATGCTTAATTAATCGTTTGCAGGAGATGGCAATGGATTACCCAGAGCTCGACATAGTGGCTTACTGTGTGCTGTAAAGCCTGATTATCACTTGGGGGAAGGGAAAAAGAACTTTGTGTAAAATACACGATTAAGGACGAAACACCCACCCCCATCCTCCATTATATGTTAAATGTATATATATTGATAAGATATGAGTGACGGCATTATGTTATTTCATATTATACATACATGTGGGTGGGTCACACTAAAAGTTCTTTATTTATCTATATGTATATATTTATGGTCTTTTTACTTTACAGTGGATATAAGAGCTGCAAAAGAAGTGAAAGAGGAGAAGATGTGCCCACGTTTCCCTGAGCCTGTCCCGCTAAAGCACCCGATACCTGTCCTCATGGAAGCTTTGGACAAGGTCAGAATGCTGAAGTCAAATGATGAGTAGAAATTAAAGTTCTTTCTGTGTAAATTCCTAGACAACTCTGATTGGAACATCAGTTCTTTTCTGTTTATAAATATTGATAACCAGTTTGATAACTATTACAATATGATGTGCTACAGGTGGATGTGCTTTTGAGAACCAGCCTTGATTCCACAAAACTGCCGGCCGTTTCTGCCATTGTAATATTTAATGATTCTGTATTGTGGAATGGTAATTTTGGCAGAAAAAATGGAAGTGACCCGAAGTCTCCCCCAATAAATGAGTACACAGTTTACAGGTGGGTTACAGTAGCTTTGCACACTTATGATTTGAGTTTGGAAGCAATAAGAGCAGCGGTCCTTCTCTTGTTGCTTCGGTTCTTGGGGGTGTTTCACAAATAATTTAAGCTTAAGGAGAAAATTAAATGTCTATTCTTTTTCTGTGGGTATATGTATATATATCTTATACGCACACACACACACACACATATATATATATATATATATATATATATATATATATATACTTTTCAAAAGTTTGCTGCATTTATCTTTATCATGCATCTAAAATACAGTAAAAACAGTAATATTGTGAAATATTATTACAAATTAAAATAACTGTTTCTATTTGAAGCATTTATTTGGATTTATTAAATGTATTTATTTATTAAACCATTTATAAAATAGAAATCTTTTGTAACATCATGTAACGGTGGCCGCCCAACAATAAAATTTAAACGTCTTCACTGTCACTTTTGATCAATTTAATACATTATTAAATTATTTAAATGCAATATCAATTTCTCTCTCTTTTTTAATCTTATCACAAATGTTTGAATATCATCATTATTTCCATAAAAATGTGAAGCAGCAAAAACAATTGTTTTAAAATAATATTTCAGAATAGCGTGAGTTGTGCAAAATGGACCTCATACAATAATTGACAATGAATTCCATTGACATGGAAAAGTGAATGCCCACCCTTTTAAAACTCAAATTTAGATAATACATTATAAATATTTATAGTACATACATAGCTGTGTGCTCTTTTTTGTAATTTTTTTCTTTGTTGTTTATACTGGTTATACTACAAAAGAATTGCAAGCCTCTCAAAAATCTTCCCCACCTTGATGCTGTATAAACTTTGGGAGGATGGAAAAGTGGATTCCCTGGATGACCCTCTGGGAAAGTATGTTAAGAACTTCACCATGAAAAACCCTCTGGGGAAAAGATGGGGTCATGACCTCAAGCCCATCTCTGAAGGCATGAGCAGTAAAGAGGCTCAAGCTCACATCTCCTCAGTTACCTTGAGAAGGATGGCCAGTCAGCTGTCAGGTGAGGACCACAGTATCTGTCACTGACCTCACCGATAGATGATTAGCATGTATACAAGTAGCACATTCCACTGTTCCATGTGCTGTAAAAATAAAGAAGGTGAAAAAGATCAACTGTTTTTAGACTAGGAGTTTCCACGGCTATCCTAATCAGCTCTGTTACCTGACATGGTTAAGTGGGTTTGCCACAGGTCCTCTAGGATTAGACCGGAAGGAATGGCTCTAACATATACTGTGCCCAAGCTGATGTTTATACAATGTGTCAGAAATACTGGTGATGATTATTTTGGTACACTTAATTGTATTCAGAAGTAACCGTTAAGGTAGTTTGACAAGAAATCTACAATGGAATATTTTTCTGCCGTCCCTCATCATAAAACTGTTTATAATGAAAGACCATTTCTGCCTTAGAGTAAAACAATACAAATATAACGTGCCTGTATTCCCCATAATTGTGAGTTTATATCTTACAATGTGACCTTATTTTAAAATGTATCTTACAATTGTTTTATTATTATTATTTTCTACCATCATTTTCAGGATGTGAAAATTGCACAATACAGCAGCATCAAATCAGTTATCATCCGGTATTAGAGATTGTTTTTATTATTCAGTATTGGACCGATGTTTTAGATTTTATTGTCAATGCTCATTTTCTCCATTTTTTCATTTACATTACTTATGCTGTCATTTAATCTTCAATTAAAGTTCATCTTTAAAAACATTAAGAACTTAATTGTAATCTTTAAAAAATCTCAAAATTTATCCATTTTTCATAATGCACATAATGTTGTGATTGATTTCAGTTTTTAGTGTTTGCATCTGCATTGCATTTTACTTTCAAATCACAAACAGAATGTTAAAATATCTTTGATGACTAATTTTTGAAATGGCGGATAAGGTAAACACCATATCAAATGAATGAAAATATGAAATCCTGGATATTTTGGATTCATTACTAACTACAGGCTTACCAAGGCGGCTCAGGGCGACTACTTTACTCTGGAAAGGCAACACTCAGGCTGCTGTGGATTTATTACAAGATGATGTTCTCGTGGCTGACCCTGGAACAAAGTAAGCTAGTACAGAGAATGTGTATGGAGAGGATGTTTAATGAATGAGAGGAGGTGTAAATAATTGACGACAGCAGATGCAGTCATGCACTTGTGGATTCTCAAAGTAATTCTAGTCCTCTGCTGTCCTCAGATGCCACTACAGCAACTTGGCCTTCTCCCTGCTGGCCCACGTGATGGCGGAGAAGGTAGCAGGGACGGATTATCAGCGATGGGTGTCTGAAAATATCTTGCAACCACTGGGAATGGAGGACACCGGATTTGAAATCACCCCACAGATTGAGGACCAGATGGCAATAGGCGTTTACTCAAGTGGGCGGCCTGCACCCCTGTATGACCTCGGCTGGTATAGACCATCAGGGCAAATGTACTCCACACCTGCTGACATGGCCAAACTGGTGATGATGCTGCTGGGCGCATACTATCGTCAGGTTCTCCAGCCCGAAACCCTCAAAACCATGTTGACTCCTCTGTTCCGCTGTGAAAACAGTTACTTTGCAGAACAAACAGGCACACCGTGGGAGGTGAATGAACAGTTGGGCTATGACGTCATACGCAAAGATGGAGATCTAGATGGTTATTCAGCCTCGATCTCCCTCGTTCCTCGCTTGAAGCTCGGGTTGGTCATTTTAATGGCTGGAACCAAACCTGAAGATGAGGATCTCGTGGCCAAGGCCTACAGTTATCTCATCCCTGCCATGGAAAGTGCCTTCAGAAATGCACCTCGTGTTCTCATCCCTCCACCAGACCCTGCTCCCTACATAGGCTACTTTACTTACAGCAACATAACGTTCTATGAGATCAAAGCAGACACAGATGGAGTGCTGTCTCTGGAGCAGTTCGGACCTCAAGTAGACACCATGGTTCCTATGAAGTTCAGAAGTTTGAAACTGAGTTATCTGCAGGATAGGGTGTTCAGGGTGGTGTTTGAGAAGGAGTACCCATGTCAGCTGAAAGTTAACGCTGCCTCTGTGTCTCTTGAATCTCAGGACGGGCAGCTCTTTAACTTTTACATCTTCAACAAAAAGGGGCACTCACCAGGTTTTGATGTCCCGGGGTTGAACACTTACAAAGTCGCACGGATAACCCGCAAACCCATTTTCAGCAGTTGAAGAAATCATTTTGATCATGCTTTTGATAATCTGAAATCATTTGATCATGAATTAAGTAGGTGCTCTTTTTGATGAAAGTGTCAAACTCAGAGGAACTTCAACCTTTGCTTGTGCTCATTTTAATAAATATTTGCCTCAAGATAAGAGCTGAAAGTATAGAATACTTTTTTTTCTTATTTTATTGTGACAATTTTGAAAATGTACATTTTTATGTAGGCTATAGTGTCTCTTACAGTATGATCGTTTGTCCCTTTTCTTAGAGGAATATTAGTAAACAATCAACAACCATCCATTCATTTGTGTGTTTCTGAGAAGCTTGAACTGTAAAGGGATACTCCACCCAAAAATGAAAATACTGTCATCATTTACTCACCCTCAAGTTGTTGCAAACCTGTATGAGTTTCTTTCTTCTGCTGAACACAAAGGAAGATATTTTGAAGAACGATTGGAACCAAACAGTTGTTTGGCACCATTGACTTCCATAGTAGAAAAAAAAATACTATGGAAGTCAATGGTGCCAAAGTTCCAATCGTTCTTCAAAATATCTTCCTTTGTGTTCAGCAGAAGAAAGAAACTCATACAGGTTTGCAGCAACCTGAGGGTGAGTAAATGATGACAGAATTTTTATTTTTGGGTGGAGTATCCCTTTAATTAAAAGTAAAGTGTGTGCCTTTCCTAAGCATTTGCACCTGTGCACCAGTTTCCAAAGTACCCAAGGTTGAGTTTTTAAATGAGTTTAGAATTTTCTTGTCTTTAAATGCAGTGTAAAAGGCCCACACCAAGGACGATAAATAAGCGTTCTAACTCTATGAGAATGATGATATTGACACAGAGGAACGATATCATTAGAATCACTTTCAGAATTATGTTTTCCAGCTGATGAATGATAAAAAACATTGACAGCCAACCAGAATCCCACCGCAGTGCACGCTTATAATAAACAGAATGTTCTTGTGCGTTAGTTTGGACGCTAAAAAGGTTATTGCTATGTTATATTATATTATTGTTCTTAGTGTGAACGGGCCTCGTTTTATCCCTTTAATTTTTTATTGATAATGTAAATGTCAATTTTTTTAAAGAAAAAAATCTATACTCTTACACTGTATATGCAGGCTACTAAACAAATAAAATAAAATAAAATGTTATAAAAAAGTGTGTCCCCACATTGGTTTTAATTTATACAAATAAATTAAATATTTAGTTTCATAAATAAAATACTTGAATATTATGAAGCAGCTGTAAGGAAACAATATAAATACTGTAGATACAATATAAATCGGACACTATGTCAGTGCTGTTGTACAGAGGCAGCCAGAAATGTTGTGATATTATAAGCTATAAAATGTTGTGGCTCAGTGAAGTTTAACAATAGGCCCATACCGTGCTGAGTCTGGAGGACAACTGGGAAAATCAAGCTGTACATCACTGTTGACCTACAAATCTCCTAAATCAATAGGCCTATGTTAGAGGACAGTTATCATAAAATGAGCGGGCAAAAGATAAGAGACCGGGAATAGTTCTATTGTACCAGCTTTCTGTTATCCAGCACAATAAAGGTCTGCCCACTTAACACTGTAATTCATCTTAAAATGTATAAACTGGGGTAACGAAGGAGTAAATGTCACTATAAGGCCTTTTAAATCTCTCAAAGATGAAAACATTGTTACCAGTCCTCAACCTTCAGGCATTCATCTTGTAGGCTGTCCTTAGTGAACGCAGTCAGGGGATGATTTTGGTTGCAGGGGTTGCATTTGGTTGGAAATAAAAGTTTGACGGTTTGACGTCAGACTCAGAACTCGACGTCGGATTGAGTCGTCAGAATCCGACGTCTGTTTGACGTCAGAAACCATTGTGGATGTTATTGAGTGCACTTATTCAATCTCACATTTAATCCTACTGGAACTGTGTTCTAAAATTAAATTTGATATTGATATGAGGGTAGGTAGGCATATTCAGAGGCAAGGTAAGTAGGCTATTAGTACATAGGCCAACAGCAATGATAAAAAATAATAAAACAATGCATTGACATTTACTTTTTACTTTTAATACGCAAGTAGGCTACTTTTAAAAACAAGTAGCCTACTTCTGTACTTTTACTTAAGTAAAAATCGGTCTTTTTCTAGTAACGGAGTAATATCCTCCTGAGACCCAGAAAAAAAAAGTTTTTTGAATTGAGTTTTTTTCCATGTCATCACACTGTTTAGAGCACAATAAACAAATGGTAAAAAACACATATATAAAATAATATTTTATTCATACGTTATGCTATGTCCTCTGTAGTGGACGCCAGGACTAAGTTGTTTAAAAAATAAAATGACATGAAATTATATGTATAGGCAGAAACAATGGGATTTTTTTCAATCACCAATAAATTTTGGGGTTTCAGGATTTTTTCAACCAAAATTTGTATAAAGATTATGCTCAACTATGGAAGAAATAATGGAATGAATTGATACACCATTTTACTTTTTGCAATATGTGGGTAAAATGGCCATAAATTAATATTCCCATTCAATGCAATGTATCTATACACTGTATCTAATTTGCACATAATGTGTTCTTGGAGCAACATTTAATGAAAAAAGAAGTGTAATAATTGGAGTAATAATTGGCAACATTTTAATAATAATATCTAATATTTCATAGGAATATTGATGTATAATTTATTTCCATTTTCACTTGTTGTGTCTCCCAGAATGCCTGATAAACATGATTTAAGTCCTGATGTCCTCTACAGTGGACACGTTTGAAATCAATGCCCTGTTCTGTAACAGAAAGTATTTTTTTTTATTTGAAACCCCTTAACATTTTCCTGAGATGTTGTTTTATATACAATTTGAAAAAGTAGTCCAATTTAAATTATAATTACAATATATTATCTTATTTCCATAAGAATGCTAGATTTGATCACTAAATTAATGTCAGACATTTTTAAAGACCAAGGAGAAGTTGTTTTCATGGTGAAACCTCCAAACATTTGGTATCTCTGAAAAGTCCTGAATGTGCTCTTTACAGGACACCCAGCTTGTGTCATGTGACATGTATGATGTCAGAGAAATTCACTAAAATATAATGTCCACTACAGTGGACAAAAGTCTATTCTTGGGTCCCAGGAGGATATTTGACCAGTAGTATAGCTATATTTGACTCGCATTCTCTATTCAGGCTGTTCCTTTTATAGAAAGATAACGTGTATTTAATTTTAAGAGAGCTTTTTTTTTTTTTATATCAAAAATCTCCGAGTATTTCGCAGATCTCATGGGCTGAAATGCGTGTTCAGCTCTGGACGCAAGATGTCACTGTAACATCACAAATCGGGGCCAAAACATGGAAAGGATTGCATTTTTTATATAGGTATACAGAGATGGCATTTAAAATGCAAGTTTTATCTCCAGTCATTATTTTTGGCTGTTACATCGTTTATAATGATCTCCTTGGCTGTTGGATCACATCCAAGTAGGTTATATGAGTTCCGGACCCCGCATTCCGCACTTCCATATAAGTTACACCAAAGGTTACACTCGTTGCTAATGCCACTCTCCGAAGTTTAACGAAAACACCCGAAGTGAACGAACGGTCGGTCCTGTAGGACTGCTGGAGGCGGCCACAGCGCCATGTTGAACGGAATCATCACACTCCGTGGAGATACTCTCGTCAAAGAGCAGTTGTAAACAAGGTGTTATTTATTTCCCAAAAGGGGCACACCTATCAAGATCGCCCTGGCAAGAAGAGGCAAACTAGATCCTCGGAAACCCCGGCCGGGGAGGGGGAACAGCCCCCAACCTTCAGCAATGAAGATAAACCACAATAAGCGCTAGATGGCTAACTTCAGCCTGCTATTCTCTCAATAAGCTAGCTAGCCTGTTAGCTCAAGCTTTTCTATCGGCTCAGACACCGGCAAACTGCTCCTGCAAGGCCAGGTGTTGACGTAACTCTCCAGCAATATTTTTTTACGTGCATTGTTTAGCCGCTAGCTAATTTATTTGTAAATATCTGTAAAGCCGTGCGTTTTTTAATTTGTTTTATTTGCGATGAGTTTGCCGCCGAAAGCGGTGTCGAACCCAGCCGCTGCTGCCGCCGCTGGAACTGGACCCGGAACCGGGCCGTCACCCTCGAGCCAGCTGCGGGCCACCCTGACCACAGTACCGCTAACGTTACCGCCGGGGACACCGGTGGCTCAACAGCCTCTGCCAGTGCCGCAGACACAGTATCCTTCTCTGAAAGCATCTGGCTCCATCACAAATATGTGTTTTTTGCTCCTCCAAAACCTAGTGAGCTCAGCTGCCTGCCTTGCCTGGACAGTATTTCTGAACATCTTAGGGATTCGATTTGATGCGCATATAATGCCAGAATCTGCTGTCTAGGCAGGTGGGTCACTAGGTTTTGACAGCGCTAGAGTGTGTTGTACTGTGTACTCGCTAGTGTCAGCACAACTTGCTGCAAGACTAAATGTTTGGTTTGGTTGTGATTTAAGTCTGGTTTTGTTTCTTGTACATGGAGGTACCAGTGCAGTGCAGTAGTAACAGTGTTATGTTTATGTGACTGTCAAAAGCCGAGCTGTCAACACACAGCCTGTTTGGTCTGATCCAGCCGGGCAGCTAGCTCTCTTTTTCCGTGTCATTTTAAAAATAAGATACCGCATTTAAATTATATTTAGATTATTATGTCGTGATTTACTCACTATTTATGTTGTTATAAACCCTTATGGCTGAGTATGGCTGACCTTTGCAAAATACATAAGAAATGTTGTCACCATTCACTTTCATTGCATGTTTTTCTATGTGACTAAGGTTGTGATTCTGATAACACGTCACGAGAGCGAGTAAATTGTTAATTTTTAGCGTGAACTCTTCCTTTAAGTCAAGACACTAAAGGTGAATGGGGTAAAAAAAAAAACAAAAAAAACTAATACATATCACCATACTTCCCCTGTTTATTTAGAGTTCATATTTTGTTTGCAAACATATTTGTAATAATATGCACTCAATCATTTTGCATACAGAACAGAAATCTGAACATTGTTTAAAGCCAGGTTCAAAATTC